GGCGAAATTCGGGTTGTGTTCAGTGGACACACAGTCAGATGACACACAGACAGACTAACCCTATCGCAAGCTTTCTCTCCGTGAATGCTGCCTGACCTGATGGGATCTCCAGCACCTTTTGCTCTCAGTCAAGAAAGTGACAGTATTGGTTACTTAATCCATTCCTACTCATCCTCCTCAGCTGCTGTATACCTTGTGGGAAGGGCTGTGCCCTCATGATAGTCAACTCATGAAAGATGTAGGAGACCATGACAAATTATAATACTCCAAATGGTACTACAGGGCTCCAATAGTGTGGCAGCAAGAGCGTTGCTTTGGTACATAAATGTGTGAGGGAGTGAACCTCCTAGCAGTTCCTTCTCTGAATTTGTACACAGCAGCTGGAATGTTATGTTTGTACAATCATGCACTATTATCCTGGCAAAGCTGTATGCTTGCTCTTCCATCTTCCTTCTGGAAAGAAAGAACACAATACATTCCCTCTCCTGTCCATATGGAGTCTTGGTGATCTCCCTTACACAACAGTGAATGACAAGGTACAGGATCATCAAGATGCTGTCAGATCCTGCAAACACCCTGACCTGAAGATCATTTTTACAGATAACAGCCGCTGGTAACACTGTTCTAGGACTGCTCAAAGACTGCAGGTCTACGTATAATAGTTGGCAGCTTCCACAAAAACTGCTTCATTGAAATATCCAGACAGCACACACTGTATTCTTTCGATGCTCAGGTTGAAGATATGTTCCCTAAAGATCCTAAGTGGAGGTGGTGACGGTTGTAGGGGGTTGAGGGGGTTGGTGATGGAACAGGGTGATGATCCCAATTGACATAGGTATTCAAAATCATGAGGAGCTTGGACAAAATGGAGGAGAAGCTATTCCCATAAGTGGAAGGATAAAGTACCAGATGGCACAGAATTAAGTTAAAATATGTCAACATTTAAAGTTCCCCATTTAACTTTGTTTTATCATTATTTAGTTCATGGATTCTGGAATCTCATTGAGCATTGTGGGATTAATTTTAACATTGTTTCCCATATAATTGGAGTTATCTTGGAACAGTTGGTCCTGCTCCATAACCCGCTAACTTGGCACCCCTGCCCATGCCCAGCCCTCTGATGCCCTCCTGTACCCAAACCTCTGACTTGTGCCCTCTCAACCCATGAGTGCAGACTAAGCTCCACATCACCTGCTTCAGCCAGCATTGATTCTGAACCACATCGTAGCTACTGCCTGTCAACATCTTTTTGACAGCCAGCAGTAGGAGATCGCAGAATTCCCTTCTTCCTGGCTGCCATCATGTGCAGGATCTCCTCAAACATAATGGATCAGTTCCTCTTCTCTGGCAGGGGCATCCTCCCCCTCCCCCTTGCCAGCAGGGTCAGTCATAACCGAGTGCAGTAGATTCCCCTCTCCACCTCGATGAAGGTCATAAGTTTTTGCCATATGTTTTAAAAGTTTATTTTATTTTAGAACTTATTTCATTCACTAATATATGAATGTTTCAGTGTAAAATATCACAACATGTTGAGGATAATTTTATTCTTTCTGATAAGGAAGACCCTAAGAGATGACCTCACTTTTAATATTGTTAAATTATATTCTAAATGATTTTTACGTTAATATTGTTATATAAGTCTATGGGAATGCACAAACTTCAGAAACATAACCACAACTTTAAGTGAGGATTTAGTGTAATTGTAAAAAGAAGCAATGAAAATAAAGCTTTGTCTGCAACAGAGATTGGTTAGCATCAGGAATGGCTCTGGAGGCAAAGTCAACCGAGACTTTAAAAAGGGAATAATTTATCTGAGAGGAAAAGAACGTGAAGCATTACAGGGAGAAGGCAGGGGAGTGGCACAAGGTGAATTATTCTTTTTGAGGGCCAGCACTGGTCTCCATCTATGCTGTAACCACTGAATGATTATATAACCCACAACCCCCTTTAGCTTCCAGTGAACTGAATGTATTTCTACTTGTCAGACCCACAATTATAGTTGCTCTGAAATGAGGTCCAATTTGAATTTGCGAGTGCAGAACCAATCCTTTTCTCCTCATTCCTAATGATAAAAGTGCATTCCACGCTTTGAAGAACATTTCCAAGGCCGTCTTTCAGCCACATCTAGTAAATCTGCCAAGTTATTGCTAAATTTCTGACACCTCTGAAAGGTGTTTTTCTTTGCCCAAAATAATTTAATTTGAACCCTGACAGGCAGCAACAAGAGACCAGACGTCCATTCATCCTCACTCACTGCACCCAGCACACAACAAACTCGTATATAAAATCAACCCACTGCAGTTACTGGAAACTTGAAATATTAACAGAAAATGGAAGAAACAAAGACAGTTCAGTTGAAGAAAAGAAACCAGAGTTCTATTAACCTGAAGCGTGAATTCTGTTTCTATCTCGCCCATAGACGCCGCCTGTGGATTGGTTAAAATTGCTGAAAAGTCTAGTCAGCAGAAAACACTGAAAGATTATGAAGTGATGGGCTGGACTTTCCAAGGAGTGGTCATCTCACAGTGCAAGAAAGAAGGGAACTCTGCATTTCTGAGAGGGTGGATGACGGCTTTAGCTTGGATATGGCTCCACAGTCAGTGGAAGAGGAGGGGAAGTGTCTCACAGGGGCAAGCCGACAGGGTTCAAGCCCGACAGTATGCAGCAGCGGGTGTGGGGTATGGGTTCAGGGGCCGACTGTGGGATCAGACCGCGGTCTGGTGGTGATTGCGAGAGGGTCACTCGGGCTTCGGTCTATTGGTGGTGGTGGAGGGCAGAGATCCGGGTCCAGCCGTGGTCATGGGGAGGGGAGGGTGCATCGCCACTCAGGTTTAACAGCGCCTGGGTTGAGGGGGATGGGGGGTGTGGGGTGAGTTCAGATCCTACGGCATGTGGGTGGGGGGGGGGCAGGGAAGGTGGGTCAGGTCTGGCTGCTGTGGGGGGGCTGGGGGATTTGGACACAGAACGGTTCGGGGGAAAGTGTAGCTGTGGTGTCTGAGCTAAGGATCGGATTTTCTCAAGTGTCACTCAGGAGTTCAACAATATATTTAATAGTCTAACCTTTCCTGAACAGTTATTTTACTTAATTTCGTCGGAACCCTTCAAAGTCTCCGATTTAAATTGAGAATCTCGGATGGGTCCAGGTGTAGAGGTATGACCCTACAGAAAATTCAATTTCCGCGCAATTCCTTCGGGATCTGCTATTATGGGGATTCCGGAAGATTCCCAGATGCAACTCCAATCTACGCTGGAATAATGACTGCCTGGCCATCAGGAAATCCAGGTCACTACATAATATACATACACACCACCAAACATGTTAAGAAGTGCACAATGTGGGGTGGGGGGGGGGATGGTGGGGGATGTGTATCAGCTACAAGATTCCCTGTATGTACTCATGCAGGCTCCTTCGACAACACTTTCCGAATCTGAAACCTCTACCAGTCCCTAGAATGCGGACGTGGGAACACTACTGTCTGGAAGTTCCTCTCCAAGCCACATATGATCCCAATTTGGGAATGAGTCACTGTTCCCTCAGTGTCGTTGGGGCAAACTCCTGGCACTCCCTTCCTAACGACGTTGTAGGTATTCCCGACAGCAGTTCAAGAGGGCACCTCACCGCCACCTTCTCCAGGGCAATCAGGGATGAATAAGTATTGGCCCAACCAGTGACGCCCAGGTCCCGCGAAGGAAATTTAGAAAAATTACTCTGAAGGGCAACATAGATACACTTATGGTGAAGCTTGACAAAAACTTTGTAGAGAGGAATAAATAGCAGGATGTACTGATGCAGTGAGATAAAGATGAGTTGAAAAGGGCATAGACACCAGTAAGAACAATACATTCTTAATAATTATACCCAAATCAATATAGAGCTCTCAGTAACACCCCTGACTTTCACCAGATTTGGGGCTGGCGCCAGGCAAACTTTTAGCGTGACTGCTCTTTGTAAAAGCAAAGTGGCGTAAGACGTTATCGGTGCAACAGACAGAACGGCTCACTGTAAGAGCTGACGGAGGGAGCTTCACGCTCACAGTTGGATCCGCACAGTTCAGCCGAAAACTACAATCCACCGGGATTTACCGCTCGGACAGGATGCAAACAGTCGTTGCTAAAACATCCCCCATTTGGTGCGCGACTCCCTCCACTGACCCCTTTGTATATGATGTGGAGCTGCCAGTGTTGGACTCGGGTGGACAAGGTCAGAAATCACACGACACCAGGTTATAGTCCAACTCTAACCTGGTGTCGTGTGATTTCTGACCCCTTGAATATGAAAAAGACAGTAAAATTCAAACAGAGGACCCCCATCAGAGTTAAAAGCTTCCCTCCGTCCCTGCCTTGCTGTTAATTCGTTCATTCTGCATTTAAAGTTGCTTTGGCCTGGGTGTTTTTCTTTCCTTTCTCAGGTTGCCCGGGGTATCCTATGCAGTTATTTCTGTAACTTCCTTACTCCGAGACAAGCAATTCTCCCTGCTACCGCGGACTGAGCATAACAAAAACACACTTTCCCAGTCCCTTCTCTGTGCATCTGTCTCACAAAAATAATGTCCTTCCACGTGGAATACACAGCACTCTCAGGAAAGTGAACCTGAGGATGTGAGCAGCGAGAGGCGGGAATAAAAATAGTCAGAGGTCGGGATTATCAATGAAAGAGAGGAAAACGGAGACATTAGGTTTAAATGTGTTCAGATATTCTCAAACTAGTGGAAAAAATCCAACTTCCGAGTCTTTTTTATAACATCTTCCTAAATCTAAATGCAGCTGCAACACGTTTGTTCAAATGTCAAAGGCACTTGTAACCCTGTTAACTGGGGACGGTCTGAAAGATCGAACCTCCGGTATGTGAAGGTTCATTCATCCAGACATTCCCTCCTTTGTTTCTCTTCCATTGCTCCACAGTTCAAACCAGTCTTTCCCTCATAGACAATGTGAAGGTGAGCTCTACACAAAGCGAATTTAACAGACCAATCATTCCGAAAGTGAGAAGCAGCCTTTACCTTGAGCAGTCAGAATAAGTAGGAGAGCAGCAAGCCAGCGCTGAGCCATTGGCAGCGGGAGCGCACTAAGTGATGAGCTGCCTGTTCCGCTCTGAGTTTAATCAGTCCCAAGCCCGCCTGCCTCCCCTCGCACCAGTTTTACACACTGCTCCCGCTGACGCGCTTCCCCCTCTCTCCTCAGCCTGACTGGAGCAACGCATTTCGTCGTTCGTTTGCCTGACACTGTTGCTTTGTTGTTGTGGATTTATTTGCATAACCGTCAGATGGGCGTTAATAATCTCATAAAGTTATTCTAAACTGATGGCCAGTTACATAATGAATTCTTGATTAAAGAATATCCCCAAGGTACTTACCTGCATTATTGGCTTCTTGTTCCTATCCGTTTCACCACCGAAATTAGCACTAACTCAAGTGATTATCATTCCTCCTGAACCTCTCAACTTCCCAATACAATTCCCCAGAGTGAAGCCTCTGCCCATTTTACTCTACATCCTGAACCTGAGTCAACATTCAGAGTTCGTCATTTCTCCAACAGCAGAAGCAACTTAATAAAAACCGAAAGAACTGCGGATGCAACTTGTTTAACCTCCTAAACATTGTAACAGGTCCGGAATCTTCACAGGAGCACAGTCCTGAAGAAGGGTAATACCCGAAAACATTGACTTCTCCTTTCCTCCAGATGCTGCCTGGCTTGCCTAATTCTTCCAGCCTCTTGTTTGTCTACCTTGGATTCCAGCATCTAACCATTAAAAAGTAAAATTAGATACCAAGCCACATAAGGCTACATTAGGGCAGATCACCCACAGTTTAATCATAGAGTTAAATGTAAAACTAAAGGCATGAGAATATTGTGAATAGTTTGTTCGATTATCTCAGGAAGTTTTCAAAAGGCTTCCAATAAAGTTCCACGTAAGAGACAAGCATGTAAAACTAAAGCATATGAGACTGGAATAGTATAATGCCACAGACAAAGAACTAGTTGGCAGACTCCTGTCTGCCAAACAAAGAGAAGAAATAAAGTTTAGATCCAGGCCAATGTGACAAGAAACATGGCGGCTGGGCACATTTAATCATGGGAGAATTAGAATCCCTACAGTGTGGAAACAGGCCCTTTGGCCCAAAAAGTCCACACCAAACCTCAGAGCATCCCACCCACATCCATCCCCCTATGACCTGCCTAATATACACCCTCTACCTCCCTGAACACTACAGGCAATTTAGCATGGCCAATCCACCTAACCTGCACATCTTTGGACTGTGGGAGGAAACCGGAGCACCCGGAGAAAACCCACACAGACACAGGGAGAATGTGCAAACTCTACACAGACAGTCGCCCAAGGCTGGAATCGAACCCAGGTCCCTGGCACTGTGAGGTAGCAGTGCTAACCACTGTGCCACCATGTCGCCAATGTTCAAGTCCACCTCTTGTGGTAGGACAACCTCCTATTATTACTTTGGAGGTAGGAAGGTGCCCACGGAAAAGTTTTTAACAAAAAATTGTTCATGAGATGTGAACATTGCTGGCTAGGCCAACATTTATTGCTCATCCCCAATTACCCAGAGGACAAGTTAAGCGTCAGCCACATTGTTGTGCCTGGAATCTTGACCACTTTTATTGGGATGTCATTGCATTAGACTTATTATTAAGCCAAGTGGCACATTTTATCCCTGAGACAACCAGAATTTAATTTTTTTTTAAATTTCAAAGATGTACTTTATTCATAAAAAATCTCTTTGTATATACACATTGTCACAAAAGCATTTCGGTTGTGTACAGTTGCATATCAAGTAAATAAACAAAACATTGGACTTTGACTCTGTCCAAAAATTCAAATGATGATTCAAGGATTCTTGGGTTTGTTTGTTGCTTTCTGTACGTGACCTCTCTTCCAAAAGCATTTATCAGTCCAATGAGTGACCCAGCACTGAAAAGGGGGATAGTGAATGAAAGCTAACCACCTAGTCCTTCCCACAGCTTATTTTCTGCAAGCTTTAATCCACTTTCAGGTACTCGAGTGCAGGGATCCACTGCAGCAGTTCTTGTAGTGCAGCAGGCAGCAGTGATACTGCTGACATCAAAAACTGCTGCTCTCTGATTGACCAGCAGCTCTCAGCAGGTGGGATTTCCATCCTCAGAATCCTGAATGCCGGGAAAATCCTGACACCTATCAGTTAAGTGACATTCAGTTGTGCCTCCCAACAGAAGTAATGTGGCTTTCCTATCAGTTCTCCAATCAGTAGGTGGGACAAGTATCAGTGACACTAAATTATACCCATTATGCATAATCTAAAACAAGATATACAAAAGGGGTACAATTTGTTACAATTATTCAGGGTGTTGGTGAGGACTGCTATAAAGCAGATGTTGACCACCCACCCCTCTGAGAACTAAAACCAAAACACCCAAAGAGGAACACCTCACCCCATAATCTGTAAAAGGAGTGTGAAAAGTGGTGTAACCTGCCTTTCACAACTTCTAGTGGTTAAATAAAATAAATCCCCTACACTCACTTTAAAATCAACAAGTAACAATTTACTTATCTATCTCTAACAGTGAACAATTAACTGAACTATTAACAAATCAAATAAATCTCTTCTAACTACTAACTATTCCTGAATAAAGCAAGGTTCTAATGATATGCTGTTACAATAAATAAAATTCTCACTTACATAAAAAAAAATTTAGACTCTCGAAATTATAGCCAGGTTATGCGTCCTCTGGAATGTTCTGTGCCTTCTCCATCTATTCTTCTGTCAAGAATGACTTCTCTGTCGATAATTCTGTCAGGAATATTAATTAGTAGTGCCATTAGTACCACCGTTATTTAAATGATGCTTTCTGTATGACATAGAGGAGGCTATGAGAACCAATGGTTCTCTCTTGAGCTGAGGGCCATTGGCTCTGGGTTCTTTGTTCAACTGTCCCCTTATTTTTATACCCTTGATGACATGTCAATATTTCTTACAAATAGGATTAGTCTTATGTTGTCAAAGCCATCAGACTTAAATTTAATAGGTTTTTAGTATCTGAGTACCTAATTCAAATTGATTGGCTAAATTCAAAAGCCTGTTGACTTGGTAAAAACTGCTGCTTGGCCGGCTAACTGTACTGCCTTTCAATACAAATGTTTCAATTTGGGTGCTCTCTGTGTACTTGCAAGCTTTCAAGATGCTGCTCACAGGCATCCATTTTAAAACTCTAAGCACAGAAAAAGCACATTATCTTTTAAAGGAACCGCGCAATGTTTTCCCCACTGGCATTTTACAACTACCAAATCCTAATTTCCTGCCTCCCAATCCGCAAGTACTGTACCCAACTTCGTAACAGGACACACTTGAGTATTGTGTACAGTTTTATTCCTTTTATTTAAGAAGAAGGAAAATGAAAGAGCAAAACAAAATTCATAGGAAAGAGAGTCACAGGAAGAAGCAGGAGAAAAATGGATTCTTTCAACACCTAAACATGTCACTGAAATTGCAATTAGCAGTAATAGCGTTAACTCCTAGATTCTCCATGTAAGAACAATTCACCAACAGCCTGTTCTGATTCATAATAATAGGTATAATGACCCAATTATTTCCAACATGCAGTTTTATAGCCATGGAATTGGATAGTGCTGGTGGAGTTTCCAACTTTCTTTCCATTAAAGGGCTGAACAAATTCATTCGTGTTGGAAAGATTTGCAGGTTGATGCTGGAGATGCTTTCGCCATGTAGTGAACACGCCATTGTTGGTCATTAGGTCCTGTATGGCAACTGAAACACCAGGGCTTCTGGCTCAGAGCCAGGGACATTACCCACTGCAACCTGAGACTTCTTACATATCCCTGTAACCTGTATTAATGCAGTCAACCATTGAGGTTCACCCACAATTACTATCAAAATCCTCCTGTACGACATTAAGTGTAGACAGAATCCCAAATAATTTTTAAAGAAGCCTCTCATCCTGTCTGCCTACCTCTTTGAATTCTGGTTTGGGCTCAAGTTCTATGTGAGATTGACAATTCTGAAATGATTTAACCTCTTCAAGTAACATACTTCCATTTTCTGTAGGTTAAATGCCAGGCCAAGATGAACGCACTGCCCATGATTTTTTTTACTCACTGAATAATGACGCAGCTATGAAATGATCACAATCTGATTGAATACAACCAAAGTTTGATTGAATTTTACATCCAGTGCAAAAGGGAGAAGACTAGGTCCAAGACTAGCATTTTTAACTTAATGAGGCAGCACAGTGGCACAGTGGTTAGCACTACTGCTTCACAGTGCCAGGCACCTGGGTTTTATTCCAACCTTGGGTAACTGTCTGTGTGGAGTTTGCTCATTCTCCTGTGTGCTCTGGTTTCTTCTCACAGTCCGAAGCCATGCAGGTTAGGCAGATTGGTCATGCTAAAATTGCCCAGTAGTATCTAGGGCTGTGCAGACTGCGTGGTTGGTGGGGATAGGTTCACGAGGGTGGGTCTGGGTGAAATGTTGTTTGAAGAGTCAGTGCAGACTCGATAGACCAAATGGCCTCCATCTGTACTATAGGGATTCTATGAAATAAGGCAACTATATGGGCATGAAAGCTGAGCTAGCTGAAATGAACTGGGATACTAGGCTATAGGATAGACTCAGAGTCAAACATTTAAAGAAGATATTTCAGAATACTCAGCATAAGTATATTTCTACGATGAAGAAAACTTCTAAAAGCTGGACTCCTCACTCGTGGTTAACTAATTGGGTTAGGGAAAGCACCAAAGTTAAGGAAAAATCCCCCGGTTGTTCACAGATGATTGGTCAGAATATAAGGAACAGAGACACTCACCAAAAGATGAATCAGAAGGAAGAAATTATAGTATGGGAGGAAGCTAGCCTGGAATATAAAAACACATAGCAAGTGTATCTATAACTATTTAAAGAGGAAAAGGGTATGAAAAGTGAGTGTTGATCCTCTAAAGAGTGAGAATGGGGCTCACATGTCTCTAGTTAATAGTAGATAATAAACAACTGGTGAGTGGAATGAACAAATACTTTGCTTCTTTCTTCATGATTGAAGATAAAAAGAAACATTCTCGTAATATCAAAAAATCAGGAGATGGAAGAGAACAGTA